CCATATACAAAGGGACAGGTAATTGCATAGTCAACACATTCTGACATTTAGCCTTCAGATACTTCATTTCACAGACAAAAATATTACTACAAAGGTTTTAAATGAAGTTCTGAAAAGAAAAACAGCGAAGACAAATTTTATTAATGAAACTGCAACAATCCCTCTGCCACGCCACAGCAGTAGGATCCCAAGCCAGAGGCTTCAGCCGGCCAGAGTCTGAGCTCCACGATTAGCTGAATGAACTAGCAGAAGGAGGAGGATTTATTCAGGTCAGAAAAGCAAAGAACTACAGAGAACACCGTGCTGAGGAGCACGAAATGCTAGAGCATACTTGGAATTAAACTCCAAATCTTTCTTCCAAGTACGTACATGATGTGCCTCAACCCACACAAGTCACTCAAGTATTACTAGTTGTAAACGGAAAAACGGGAAGTCTATCAAGGTTTCGGTGTTTGTGTTTTCAACACAAAATAATACTTGAAGCTGCACCATGATTCTGAAGTTTTCAGAACTACTTTTCAGGAAGAAACAATGCTCATTCTGGACTGTGCTGCAGCTGCAACGTTTTCAGATTGTTCCAAAAGAAATATTACATTTTCACTAAATACAAATGTGCCTTTTCTGATTGTTGAACCCTTGTAGATTTTGATACTGCATGGCAGAAATATTTAACAGAAGTGGTTTGGCTGTACTTTTTCCAAAAGTAATTACAAAATGAAGATTTGAAAATAAAATTTCTATGAATATTTAAATGAGAAATAATAATATAAGGAGATTATTTAATCGAGGTGGGAGAAAAAAGGTCATAAGCTATCACCAAGAGCTTTTTGAATTGATGAAACTCGGCCATACCTAAAGCTAGTATCAAGGCAGTGATACAGCTACCTCATCACAACCAAGCAAACTACATATAAAGCTCAAAGCCAAGTATTACCAAATGCAAAGATAAGTGGAAGAAGAGGAAGAAAAACAGATGGATTCACTTGGGGAAAAAAGGCGACAAGAGGTAAAATAATTAATTTACTGAACAGTCTTTAAATGGACATATAGAACTGATAAATCCGTATGAAGAAATTCAGTGACACTGTCACGCTTCAGACCTTTTAGATCTTCATGTATCTGTTCTCTCGATAAAAGCTTTATGAAAGCTTTAACTAAGTAGTAGTAAATAGTGACTGGAAAAAAGATCATCTCGGGAATATTTTTAACCTAGTATCATTATACTTCTTACTAAAAGACATACAAATTCATTTTTCCAAGATGAATTACAGACACAGTTCCCCAAAATTTTTTAAATCTTTTTTTTTTAGTCCATGTTTTGTAAGACAAATTCCAACCTTTCACCCTTCTTAAGATCTAACTGGCACTTAAGTATCAAAGACAGATTTGCATTTCAAAGGCCAATTAAAAAAACATACTGTAGTAAGGCACTGATTAAAAAGTGTTGAGGCTTTACATAAATTAGTTCCTTTGACTTTCCCTAGTTCAAATCCATCGTAATAATGGCAAAACCCTACACATTATATGGACTATATGATCACCACACCATCTCCCTCCACTACCCTGATGTTTGTGTGGTCATATTCTGGTTAAAACATAAAGCAAGCAAAACCACTTTTAAAAATAAATGAATTATTTCACAAATCCAGTTTAGAGCACGATAACATGCTTAAGTTTGCAAAGCAAGAGGAACCAAAGAAGGAAGAAAACACTGGCAACGACAATCTCAACCTTCATTTTCTAGAAGGAATCAAAATGGAAGCACACATTTAACTGGAAAGAGAGATACAGGTATCCTGAAACTACTGATCTTTAAAGAAAACTAACAAATTTCTTGCCGTTTGCAGTTTCTAAAAATCAAAGATTTACTACCAGAAGTCTGTAGAACAGTAAATAACTTACTTTCAAGGTGCAGTAGCATACAATTTCAAGTTACAGACTAATCGTGCTGATTTAAAGTATTCTTTATAATGTAATACTTTATCATAACTTCTGACTTGCTTTTTAAATCACATGAGAAACTAGATCAAAGAAGGAAAAGATCAATTTTTATCGGAGTCTCAGTTGCCACAGAAACTTTGACTCTCACACCTCAAAAAGCCTGAAGAGTAAAGGCTTCTCGTCTATTATCCCGTATGGAAAAGGTTCTTTAAAAGCATATTGTCAAACACACTACAAACTTGCCAATCCACGCCATCATCAATTTTCCCCTGGCACAACATGTTTACAGCACTGTGTCAAAAACAAATTGAAGCAAGAAACCAAGAAAGCAGGTCTCTAACATAAAGCATTCAGTCACTGTCTGAACAGGCCACGCTCGGGTACTGAGAGTGTGTGTTTTGGTTTGATTTTTTCATGCAACGGTTGACTAAGCCCCTCTGTCACCTTGCAACACCTTGCGTTATCAATATCTGTCATCCTATGGCAATAAAAGAGCTTCAGATTCTGACGTTCAAAAATTTTAGATCCGTCAAACTATAATATATATGAAGTCCTTTAAATAATTTGGGAAATTTATCAAAATTTATCAGCCTGTTAGACCTTTACGCAAGACCCACTACAGGTAGATTGCTCAGCATTATCTACCAGCTGTTAGGGAAAACAGCGCAGTTATAAAACTCAAAACCTGTATCCATTCATATACAGGATGGAACACGGCATGTTTTTACGGGATTTTCTTTGCCCTGGCCTACATCACTCACCAGAATTTGTCATTTTCAGGCAATGAAGATATTTAATGAGTAAGAAGCAGTTAAAACATGCAAGCTATGCTTCATAATATTCTCCTTTAAAGAGATGAGGTGCATCGCAGTACAACAGTCACGCACACCATACGAATTCAACATAGCACTGCTCAATTAAGACGGGAACTAGCTGCCTCCCACTGTTATCTTGAGGCCAAGGAGAGACCTTACTATGCTAACTATCCCCACACTTACTGGAGCCTGAAAGCTTCCAATTAAAAGAGGGGGGGGAAGAAATATTAAAAACCACTGATAAAATTGAGGGATTCAAATGAGGTCAAGAAAAGCAATATAATTAAACCAGAATTTAAGTATTCCATCTCTTACTCCAAAGCCTTCAGCAACCAAAGCTACCCTTCTCCCCAACTAACGCATTAAACTCAGTGTACTCTTGCACAGCTCTTGGCACTTAACTGAGTTAGTAAATAGGTTTTCACAGACCCAGATTTGACAAATCTTTTGGAGCAGCAGAACTTACGCACACTGCAGCCAGAGGATGCTCTTGTGCAGGTATCTAACTTAACAGGGTGGCATAAGGCAATGCAGAACATGCGTCAAGAGCATTTCCTCTAGTTCAGACAAAAAAATTACAATTTTTATTGCATGGAGTTGATCAATAATCTTCTAATACTGTTAGGCTTCTAATAGCTGTTAGGCCAACATGAGACATAGGGGCAACTATTTCTGTGGTAAACGTTCGTATTGGCTTGGGTTAGACTGTTTTCTAGCAAAGATTTTTTTGAAAACAAAACTCATCAGAATTGCGGGGTTTTTTAAAAATACTAAAAGGCTCTTTAAGATTCCATCTTTTTTAAAACTATCATTTAAAATAGTATCTTCTACATTGATACAGGAAAATTGAACTGGAAATTTTGAAGACATTTTGGATTATCTTTGGTTTTAACCCCATTAACCCTAATGATCACATGGACCAGAATGGTAACAGAAGAAAGATGCTGAACGATCTCATGTGGAAAGCAGCAGAATTAATCACGACAGCAGCAACGTAAGAAGATAGTAAGTGCTCGAGATAAGTGTCTGAGAACTGCTTTTATTGTCCTCATTGCCAACAAACTTAGAAATGTATTTCTTATTCAGAGACTCTGAAAGTCACTCCTTTAAGGTATAAAACCCCAATTTTTTTTATTTTGACATTTCTGATGTCTCACAACAATGCTACAAGCCAACTTAATTGAAACAACATCAGAATATAAATGACAGTAAGCGGCAGCTCTGGGAGATGCTGTAGCACTAGTCAGCAAGGATTCATTACCTCAAGACATTTATTAAGCAAAGAAAAAAAACTGTTTGAAAAAGGCTGGCAAACATCATTAGAGAAACAAAAGAAAAATTGCTTCATAGGTTTCTTTCCTAGTTACATTGCCTCAGTTTATCTTTTTTGTTGGTTTTTGAAGTCTCACTCTTACAAAGTAATTATGTCTCTTCCAGCTACACGGTTTAAAACACACTTACACAGTCTGACACTCCCGATCCCTGAGATACACGCAAATGACATTCTGAAAACAGATCACTTCCCCCAGTCATATTCTTTATTTTTGTCTGCAAACTTCACCTACTTACTGCATTCTACCCCCTACACAAAAGCTATTTCCAAGTCATGTCTAAAAGTTACTCAAAACACCAAGGTGAGGTTACGGCTCAGGCTTCTTAATGTCTGTCAAGGAAGTTTTCGTTGTTTGTTACTTTTCAGGCTTCCTTGTTCACACCTGATACTCAAGAAACAGAGAAATACAAAACCCCAGCACAGGATCCTCCTTTCTCCACCACTCTTCCAGTTCTTTAGGGATTGTACACATCATTAGCTTTTAGGAGCTTCCCAAATGTTTCATGACAGAGGGGAGATAAATCTCAACATATAAGCAGCCAAAGAAATTTATTTTTAAGGGTGTTTATAGATAAAAAATGTAGAACCCTACTCTTTTTTTCCCCTTCTAAGCTGTGGTAAGTCTTCACTGTGATTACATGCACCTGACTTTTTTTTTTAATCCATTCATTTCAGTTTTCCTGATCTTCAGCATTTCCTCAAAAAATACCCACACATTAAATTGCTCAGATGAATAGAATATATGACAACTTTCAGCTAGTAAAAAGAGAGATACAGACCCAGTTTCACTGATAAGTGATGAAAATATCTTTTCCTTTCTCGGCAAGCACCTTCCTCTTTTTGCAAGGGCCGAGTATACATCTACGTTATCATGCTGTTAGTTATACTTAACAACAAAAAAAGAGACTTACCTGCTACGGTGAGCTTTGCTGTTCTGCTGACAATGGTCCCCAGGCTTTCCACAGTTGCCACACATTGATAGTATCCTTCATCAGGTTTATTATGCTTGGAATGCACCACACTGTTTATTAATAAAGATCCATCTGGTAGCAACTGGCGACGGTCATCTGACACCAAGTTTAGAAAAGTCCCATCTTTTTTCCATTCAATTTTTGGAGAAGTTTCACAATAAGCTGAACAGTTCATTACAACAGACGCTCCGCGAACTGACAGAATGTCCATTGGCTCCACCAGAAAGTAAAAAGGAGTGAAGGTTCTCACAAGGGATCCTGTAAAACACAAATCACATCACACAATTTTTGGGTTAGCCTTCTAAGTTTTTTAAACATAAAATGCATCCTCATTTCAAAATACTGTAATGTGCACAAGAGCTATCACTACTTGCAATATTGTCTCCCTGAACAGATTAGAAATAGCTTGGTCTATATGACAGTATTTTCTGCTTTGACTATTTACACCAACAGACTCTTAAATTCAAACAAGTTTTCATCCCTGTTACAGATTCGTCTGCTCATACGGGAATCAATGTGGTTAATAGTCCTGAGCAATCCACTGCAGACAGAAGTCTGCCTCATCAAAACTTATGCAAACTCATGTGCTCGTGTACCACATTTATATCAAATGATACGCACTCTTAAGGCTCTCTTTTTGGCCTTTTGTGGTATGGCTGCCATACCACAGCAGTGCAGTAATTTGTTTTGTATAACAAAGATTAAGAAACATTAAGAATAATGCAGCTCTCAAGAGAAAAAGAGTTGCCAATTCTGAGCTTAACTCATCATGCAAGTGCCATAAAACATTTTTTTACTTCTGTTCTAGTTCAGGATAAACATGATTACTTTTCCATTTTAAGTATTCCCAAAAGACTTCTATAATTAACATCTACTTTCCATTAAGAGTGTGAATTTTAATTACTGTATTTCTGGTGTATTTGGTCAAGCAGAAAGATTGTGTGCCAACAGCACTTTGACTTGTCCTAACTTAATCATCCACAGAAAACAGAAAGAAGAAAAATTCTTTCAGGGAAGAACAGTTTTCCAAATCACATAATGTTGGGTTGAGAGAAAACAGGGTCTTTGTTTTTAAAGCCAACCTCAGAAATAACATCAAGGCTCCCCACCTATACTCTCACAAACTCCACCTCTCCTCCACTTGGGCCTGGGAGAGGGATATGTGTACAAAACATCATGGCAATATAAACGGAAATACTGCTAGCTGTCTACCAGCAAACCGAAAACAAAAGTGCACAGACTAAAAGGTTAATAGGGCTTTTGAAGCAAGTCACTTCAACCCAGAGCTGCAATGATTCCTCCTATCTTTATATAAAGAAAGCAAGCTGCGAAAGGAAACACTTAAAAATGCCAGCTGAAAACAAACACACAGCCAAACTTACAAGGTCTTTTTGCAAGGCCTAGAAAATAACTATTTTCCATAGACACAACAGCTAAATGACAATCCTAATGAATAAAGCATATTTTACAAGCACTGTGTCTACTAATGTACTCTCAGCACGAAGTGGCAGACTCAGACTACCCTTGTCTAAAAATTTTAACAACAACTTTTTGAAGTCATAGGCTGTTTAGAGACCAGAAAGGAGATTCCACCGGTCACATTTTTTTTTCTAAACAGTTCAAGTGGTTTCTGTCATTGAGCTGTTCGCATGTGCTCCAGCGCAAACATGGGAAAAAACAGTTGCTCTTTCAAGCCTGTATATAGTCCTGAACAGCGGAAGAAAAAAAAAGTCTTGAACTTGCGGGGAGTGGGCATTGTCTTCCAATTACATATAGTCTTCAAGATGAATGTTCAGACAATATGATAAAGCAGTGAAGAAAGACCTGTTCTCCATTGTACTGCACAGGGAGATACTACATTATTTTTATCTGGCATTGGTGTAGCAAACCTACCCATGAATCAGTTTACTTGATCTGGCCGTAAGCAATACATGATACAGTCAGAATGTGTCTTTCCTTTTACGTACTTCTAAGAGTGTGAAGGCAATCCGTAACACTTGTGAAAGGCATTGTTAGAAAAGGGTTACAAAGCATTCACAAATGCAAAATGAAGCTTCTACCGCACACACTAAACTCTTCGGAAAGGGTCATAAAAATATTCCGCTCAAAACCATTTAATCTTTCATAGTAAGGTCGATAATGAAATGCTGAAGTATGTTAAGGCCACCTTGAAGAGGAACACACATTTAATAACCTGATTTGTTTCATTAAGTCACCGAACAATTATGAAGCATGTGTTTTTAGAAAGAGTACAAATCTGAAGGAGACCTTTACTTGTAAAGAAAGTCTGTCCTGTAAGCATTTTACCTTCTTCAATCGCTTTTTTTTTTTTAAATCGGATTTACCTTCTAAAATAGCCTTAATTAACAAATTGATATGATTCCCTCTATCACTGAATTGCACAGAAAGTCTCTCATCTCCAAAGAGACACTTAAGCTTCCCCCTGGAGAGGGACTCCAAACCTTCCTGCACAAAGCTTATTGTCTTTGCTACTCAGAATTCACAGAAACTTGAAGATAAGGCAGAGGGAGTGATGTGAAAGAAACAACAGATAAATTATGCTTTTGTAGGTCATATCATTCAAATATTCTTCTACCTTCAAGAATTCAAAGAGGAAATAAGAAAAAAACCCACTATAGGACGACTGTCGTTTCCCTAGAGACAGTAACAGTCCCAGACAAGACTGGAGGCCTGTTATGTTGGTATCCAAATCCTTGAGATGATGTTTTTCCTGAGGATTATTAAAAAAAAAAAAAAAAAAAGAGAGAGAGAAAAGAACACCCCCCCCAACAAAAAAACCCAGAACAAATTACAAAATTTCTAGGTGCTGCTTATGTTACTTCAGTTTGTATAATCACACCTATGTGCAGGTGTACTTGATTCTCTGTGTGCAGAGTACCGAGTTTCAGCTCTAATATACCAAATGGCAAAAAAGAAACAAGAGTCATGAGCAGCAGAAAATATTTTAACCTGTTTGTCAGTATAATTTCTTCCATTGCTCCAGAAACCTAAAGGTCTTTCTTAAAATCAAAGATTCAGCTTTATTCTCCCTGGGTTTTCCAAGAGAAAGCATTCGACCTGAGCTATCAGCCTTTTTCCCCTCATTTACAAGTTTCTGTAAGTTTTGCCAATATAGATCCAGACCCCTACCAGAAGAAATAAAAGCACTCTTGAGTTTTGTTTTTCTCTGCCCTTTTTCTCTGGCTTTTCAAATAAAACGTAGGAAACCCTTAAAAAGGGGAGGCCGGCTTCTTGTTTGCCTTGTGTGGCTTTGGTGCAGATTGGAGCAGATCAAATCCATCGACGGGATAAGGTTGTTCTTATCCTGGAAGCAACAAGCTGCCCCAGGAAATAACATCGCAGAGTATAGAGCAGGGGATGTCAAGAGAGAGCATGCCAAGAAGAAGCAGCAGCACAGAAGGGGTCAGAGACTTTCAGAAGGAATGGGAAGTAGATTCTCAGCCAGGTTTCAGAGGCAATGTAAAAAAAGCTCTTGCCAAGAGCCCTGTGAAGACACAGCACAGCCTGCTTCAACTCGGGATACTACCCCACTCCTGCACAGAAAGTAGTGGATAAAACAAAATAAAAGGGCTGGTAAATAACTATGTCCCATCTTGAAGGAAAGTAAACTAGAATTGAGACCTTTCTAGCCCGCCACCTCAGAAGGGTTTTGCAATGTAGAGTCGGGGCACTCTGGAGAAGTGCTGGTGGGCTGCACCCACACTAGCCAGCAGAGTTCATACCTCTGAGCCTGGATTCAGCATGAGAAGGCTTTGTACATACAAGACCTTAATAAACTTCAATTTCTGTCAACAAGCCATTTCTCCCACTCCATCAACCTATTGATTATTCAGTTAAACGACACCACATTATTAAAGACTGAATTGGTGTATTTTGTGGATGGAGTCCTTCCTCCTTCCACGTACTTATCTTCGGGGGGGTGAAGGGGGGGAGTACATACATAGGTATGTACATATCAGTGGCTTGATTTGTGTTAATATTGGCCCAAGAAACTTAAATAATTAAGCTCAGAAACAGGAACAGTTAAGTCTTGCTCATTCCCAACAGAAATTTCCACCCCTCCACCCCAGATCTGCTCTTGAACACCAGTGGTAGGGACCCACCAACTCCTACAGGCGTTCAGTTCCAGTGCTTCACACTCTCTATTATTAAGACTATCAAGCAGTATTGCTATGATTTAAGCACATTTCTTTTTGCCACTGTAGGAATGGAAAACAGATTGTTCATCTTTCTCTACAGTCTTCTACATATCCGAGGACTTAAATCCTTCTCTAGCCTTTTCTTTAGGCGTAGCATTTCTAGTTTACTACTAGGTAGAAAACCTAGTACTAGGGTAGATAGTAGGGCTCTGATAATTAACTCTGAATTCTCTCCAACCAGCCCACGTTCTTCCCCAAATGCTGTGCCCCAAACATGATGGAGATCCCCAGCAGAGACAAGATCAGTGTCAGGTGCAGGTACGGTGTCATTTCACATGTTTTGAAGGCTCTACAACTCCCTTCTTCATCCCTCCCAACACAGAGGCATTAGGTTTTAACACAGAAGCATAACGCTACCGACTACATCGATCTGTAATCCCTTCACTACCGTAATCCCTAGATCCTCTTCTCGGAAACTGCCGTGAGGCTTGTTCTTTTCCATTTAATGTTTGACTAGTTGATTACCCCTGCCTAACTGTATTAACTTTCACTTGGCTCCTCCAAATTCTTCCTCCTTCCAAAAAAGTTTACCAATTTTGAACTCTAACCTTGTCCTCCCTCTTGCAGCTTTAAGTCGTGTGAAAATTTAACAAATTAGCTTACACTGTCATGCAGGCTGTGACATCTAATAGAAGTTTACTCAGAATACATAAGTGCAAAATCCCACACAAAGCAGCCTTCAATATCATCGTCTTTACTTCTTCTCTCAACACTTACCCACCCCTTTTCATAGCCATCCTATGTCAGTTAAGACCACATTTCCCTATTTCCTTACAAGACTGTAATGGGATGGTAGTGGTTGAGGAAAGAATACGGGAAGTTATTTTTTTCTGTCAAACTTTTTTAACTACTAAGGAAATTAGAATGGTCTGAAAAATATTTCCTTGACAATTCCATATCAATTAACCCTTCTACCCACATTACCTTCCAGAAGAAGTTAGGGGGGGAAAAAAGTTTGTTCACTCACCCCTCAATTTTTCCAGGAAGCAAAGCCAAGCTGACTACTTTTATACATCCCTAGCTCCTCCTCTCTTCCCA